CTTGATCGGTCATGAAAGACTAACATTATGGGTTGCGGAAAGCAATGCGCCTTCTAGGACGACGAAACCCAGCTTGGTTTTCGCAGATCTGCATCCCTGTGTTCAGTCAACATTTGAGCTCGATATAGCTCATTGATTAAGGTATGAGCTTCCCATCGGATGGTCTGTTGACTGACTGCTTTTTTCTAGACTTGTGTAGCCTGGCAGTATCTCAGCCTTCGTGCCACGTTCGAGAAGTAAGGCAGATAGGCGCTGAAAGGGTGTTGCAGCTGATTTCATTGCCACCCTTCGAAGGAAGAAGCCACAGGGCACCTTGGATGTCATGTCCACGACGCTGATGCCACCGAAGTTTTCACACCATCCGTGCACACTTTTTGAAAATGGGAATAAGTGTCGACACGCCCCATTCTGTAGACACTTTCTCTTCGCTCCATATTGCACATTTTAGCTTTTTTAGATGGGCCACCACGGATTCTCCACCTTCTTTGAGTAGGGCTAGATAGAGACCGTCCGATCCTGCTGCTTTGTCACGTTTCAGTACGGATGTTCTGTACTTTGTTTCTTCCCCCGATGGGCTATTAAGATTTGCATTCTATTCGCCCGTATGCACTCCAAAGGCTGCATTGAAGGAGGTTAGGTAAACTGTTCTTTGAAGTGTTCGGCCCTTCTTTCCAGTCAAAATTTTTCCGATTGAATTAATGAACCGCCTTTTTCACTTATCGTTTCACTGACCGTCGCCTTCCTAGGGCCAGTCGATCGTACTAACTTGTACAGAGTACGGCCGTTTATGGTAGCAAAAGCCTCCTTGCTCCCGAGCTTTCGAGCTCCTTAAGCTCCTCACCATTTGAGGGCGTTTGAGGGCTTTGCGTGCGCCGTAGGTATCAATCAGAACTAGGGACGATATCCAGTGGTCATTTGATTGTATTGGAGAAGTCGGACAGCCAACACTGAACGCCGCTAGTTTGGCTCCTCTCGCATTCTGTCATGCTTCCTCCATGTACACGCTACCAGTACAGTATTGATTTACAGGCCCACGATGCAACCGACAGATTCTTTCTTGGGGGGGGGAGCTTCTCAGAGGCGATGACTCAAGAGTCCGACCTTTTCGGTTGTAGAGTCCTCGCTCAACTCGTGCGTTCAGGGAGTAAGGAATTACTGTCTGACTCCTGGTGCAACTTTGCGCAGAAGACGCTTTTTAAGCTGCACCAGACTCTTTGGTTTTGGAAGTTTGTCCATCGCATTGAATAATGCGCTGGTGATCACAGTCAGCCAGTGGACAAACGGAGTGTGCGGGATATAGGGCCCACCTTTTCTAACCCGTCATTCATCGTGAGGAAGGTACGCACCATCGACGCCTCCATGAATATAGACATGTTAGTTGCCTTAGGAAAATACTTTACTGCAATCATACCCTGTTCGCAGGGAACAGTATGATTTTTCCCGCACACCACCCCATAACGCGACCATTTGTGGTACGGGGTCTCGATGCTCTTGGTCTGACTGATATCCTTTGGCTATCCTGGCCTGATTGAATGTGGATCAAAGTTTCAACCAATATAGTCTGCGGGATCATTTCAGCAATCAAGCCCGATTACCACGTCAGGGTTGCAGCTTTGGGTTGGGAATTTATCACCCTACATTCGATGCCCTCGTTCCAATTTCACCGAATTATTTCTCCTGAGTGCATTTAAGTTCTTCACTGTACATAATGAATTTCGACACCACCAGCACAAGCTTTAAGCCTTGGTCATTCGCTATATGGTACGAGTCATAATAATGTAATGTTTTCAGTCCTTCTCTACGGCCTTCCCCATATGTTACTTCTTTGACTTAGTTCACACACTGTCGTTCGGAGTAGCGTTTTAGGCTTACGACCTTGATCATTCGCTATATGGTACGAGTCATAGTAATGTAATGTTTTCAGTCCTTTTCTACGGCCTTCCCCATATGTTACTTCGACTTAGTTCACACACTGTTCCCAACTTGTCGTTCGGAGTAGCGTTTTAGGCTTACGAGAGGAAAAGTTCTAATCTATTCGTAGTCCATGTCCTGTCACAGTGACTCTTGCTTGTTATCGTTCAGCTGTAAAGCCCTTTCGGTGCCTAGCTACCGTGCCACCCGGAGAAAGCATGAGGGCTAGGATACTGCCAGGTTGCTCAAGGCTAGTCAGGAGAAGTAGGCTCCGAGCCACTGACCTTCTGGTCAGTAAATTCGCGCTCTAACCGCTGATCCATCTCCTCCCCACCCTCGCTAGTCTGTTAACTTGATATTTTGTTACTGCTGGCACTACTGGGCGTTTGTAATCACTGAGTACTGATGCCTTATCTTTCCTTTCTTATTCAACCATCGAGTTTGTAAGTGGCCACCTAAAAGCCGTGAGACTCAGTGCACGCAAGCGTTTTGCTTTTCATGACTGCTTTTGTGAATGTCGCATGGGAATGCTACGTGTTTTCCCCCTTGATTTCTCATTGCATCTTCGCTTAGGTACTAGTGTAGAAGGTTCATTATCAATGAATCCATTGTCCGATGGACCCTATGGCTTAAAGAAATGCAGTTCGCTAAAATGTCGAGGTGTTTCTGGCCTAGTTGAATTACGCTGTGGTTCCCATCTGCATTACTCTTCACGTCCGTGTAGAACTACTTTTCACCAATACCATAAGGTTTATAATTAAATTTCCGGACGCCGAACCTTAGTAGATCGAGCGCTCAAGCAATGTGTTGTACTCGTCCTAGGATTGGTTTGTATGTCATTTTTACCATTTCTGACTGGTTATATCCCTGTTCTAATCAGCTCTTCATGTTCATCGGTGGTTGACTCGAGGAGTATCACGCTCTGTCTACTGCCGGTCCACCTTCACCAGTATTTCTCAGGTTCTGTTGCTGGAATCATGCCCAAATTCATGGACGGGGTGAACCACACTCACTTCTATCGACACAGCTCGTCAGGACTATACCTATATGCCTAAAGTAAACTAGAAACTGGTTGAAAATATGCAAGAATTAAGAATCCCGACGTGCGAAGCTCTCGAATAGCATTGGGTTTTATGAACTAGTTAACGACTTTTTTAGGTCACCAAAGATTGCGAGCAGTGGCAACGAACAAGTACCCTAAATGAGCTATATTGATTCTCAGTGGATTGCTGTCACCGTAATGAGTAGACTGAGTCCTCTGAAAAGACTTCATTCTCACCTGTTCCGATTTGCATCCAATTTTTATACCCCGGGAAAGTGCCTTTGGGACTTTCCATATTTTATTAGTGATCGCGCTTTGGCTAGCCTAGTTGATTCGCCAGCAGTATTTTTGCTTTATCTCTGAGGGCGAACAAATCCTCTGCCAGTTGTGTGGCAAACTCCTTGGTTTTCCCCACTGTTTTGAGAAGAGGCGGCCGTATGTGCGTGGTGATGTTTGCGGTGCGGCAGACACATGATGGAAGGCCAGTGACGTTCGGCTCCCCTTGCTCATCATGTCCGTTTTCAGCAATGCCTCGGATTTGTTACCAGTCGAGGTCTGAAGAACAGAGTGAATGAAGATGACATCTATTTTCTATACCGTGTGGTCCATATTCATTTTTCGAACTGGATCGCTTGACTGTTTCATGTTCACAAAGATCGTTTTTTCCTCATCTTATCTTACCTCTAGGTGGATGATGAAAAACGCTTTTTAGTCTCTTGTGAGCCGCAATTCATGGCGAATGGCGGATTTCAATAGACCTAGTGCTGTTGACGTGGCGACGATGTAGAGGCTGATTCATGGTCTTATCTAAACTTACAGCATAGCAAGGAAAATTTGGCAGAACCTGAACCTCTTTAACCTGCATATTCAGAGTAACGGTGTCGTGAAGGACTGTATTTTTCAATCCTGGGGAGTTCACCCCGAAAATAACTTGTTTAGTAAACCGGTAATTTTGTTGGATTTCACTTAATGTGGAGTACACCTTGCAGCTATTGGTTCATGGGTATACTTCAGAATTTGTGAAGCACTTTGGAGTCTCCGATTCCGGAGAGGAAGCCTTAGCCACCAACCCTGACTTCCGCTGGTCGTGCTGCTTTTACCGATTGAATGGTTAAGGTGATTAGTGTTATATCTGCTGCTGACCCGCTCCAGTGCCTAGTGCCGGAGAAAAAAGACTCACAGAAGAGAACACAACAGCTATATTCCGAACAAGCGAGTGCGAGAGCGTGAGTGCCTGCGAGTGCAAAAGTACAACCATCTCAGGATATTTATTGGAGGGACACTGTCTGCACTTGGTCCAATGCTGACGCACGCGGTATTGCCTTTATACCAGGCTGTGGGACGCTGCATATTGAGGGGACATTATCTATCTGGTCAACGTCTAGCAAAGCTGAGAGTTTCGGTAGATTTCGGGCACTCAGTGGTTGCTTTCCGGAAGCTGTCCTTCTTGATACCTCCCCCTTTTGGCTGTTCAACGTAAGATTGTCGACACGAATCAATTTGTAAAAGTTCCACCCTTTTCCTGGTGCGGCCGGTACAGCGTCTCGGTTTCAGTAATGGATCTGTCATGGGCGATACATGTGAAACGGTGGCCATAGGTGCTGGTCTTGAGAGACCAAAGGTTTCAAGCAGTAGGTTGAGGTCTAATAACTGTTCTTCCGTCTTTGAGATCTGCTACTCAGTCGGCCGTAATTGATCGACATGTCGTTTCCATACCAATGATCCCACCTGGACGCTGTAACTAAAACTAACATTCCTAACTGTGGGCAATTGATGTTTTCCCAGCTTATCCTGTTTATGCGTGCATCATCTTGGTTTGCATCGTCTATCTTGCTTTCTATACCGTGTCGTCCAATGACTTGTGCGTCCCGCATGTCATCAGATTACAGCCTCTCCCTACATTCGGTTCAGTTTTCAAATCATTTTTATGTGAAACATGTTGGAGAACAATGTCTGGTCACTTGTCGGCATGATAGCTTTTATCGTATACAAGGGATTGCTTCTGTTATACTCACACATCTGCTTCGTTTATCATTTGTTGTTGCAGGCGCCGGATGGTGAACATCAACCGCATGCACCTGTTGAACTTTTCGTCTCGACCGAAAGGCTTATGATTCTCAATGCAAACCTCCAGGTTAGTTGAGTAACTTGACGACTTAAATACCACTAGTTCACTGTAAAGCGACCACCTGAGAAGGGCAGCCTCCCTAGCGCAGAACAACTTGAAGTTCAAGTGACGTTACAGGTCCTTCAAGTGCTCTTATGCGTTCCGAGACCGCTTAGACACCCACTTCTAGAAGCAAATCCTAACTTAACATGATAACTTTTCGGCTACGTTTTTTCACTTTTGCACTGTAGAGTAGTCTTCGCACAGAAGAAAGCGCGGCCAGAAATCAACATATGCAGATATTACTTATCTGACAAGGTAATGTAGCAGTGTAACCTATGTTGAGCGCGATTTATTAGATAGATAGACTGTCATTAACGGCATCCTCTAAGTATGATATGGTCACTGTGACGACGAAGCCCGCCTGATAATGTACGAAGTGCCAACCATTTTCGTTTATTAAAACCCAACAGTTTGCCACACATGTGGTGGATAGGGTTGAATGGATGAATGTTGATGCTGACGGGAAATCAACGTCAAATTATTCCTAAACCACTGAAACAGCAGTCAGTGCTATTCAGTACAACAATATGTCCAAACCCAACTCATTTTGACGATCACATCAAGCAGTAAACAATCAAATCGAAAATGTTTGGAACCAATTGATAAACAGTTGGTAGACTTATAGATTGGCCACGTTTCGCTTTTAACGCAAATGCTTCCTCAGGCCAAATGATTAAGCTACTGGATTGATCGAGTTTAAGGTAGACAGAACCGGTCAGTTGGCAGGATCCCTTATGATATGTATAGTTGATCAGTATTGAAATTTAAAAGGTTGAAAGTTTTTTTCGATGGGCTGGGGGGAGTTTACATCATTTCGGTCGAGTTTGGGTTCGATGCCTTCCATTTTATTTACATTGAGGTGCTCGGTAATCCCCGCCCCCCCTCGGTTATCAGTCAAGCCTTAGTGAAAGTCCTCATGCACTAGACATCAAACACAAAATGGATTTAGAAGGGTTCGCTTCCATTTTATTTACATTGAGATGCTCGGCGATTCCCGCCCCACCCCCGTCGGTCATCATTCAAGCCTTAGTGAAAGTCCTCATGCGCTAGACATCAAACACAAAATGGATTTAGAATATGTTGAAGTTTTCAGGCGGGACTAGGACTCACGCCAAAGAGACTGATGGCCGAGGTGGTGGAAGGCGTAGAACTGACGGAAGTGTGAAGCAGCCAAGCTCGATCAAAATGACTTAAATGCCCCAAACCACAGACCGTGATATCTAGGTACCCAAACCTTCCAAAAAAGCTTTCATCTGACACTCACTACTGACCTATTGTGCTTATCGGATGAGATCTTGCTGGTTCGTTGGTTCTGTGCCCACCTTCAAAATCGGTCAACCTGATAGCTTACTCACTTGGCCTGACAAAGCATTTGCGTCAAAACAAGTCACGTTCCCCAGCTATAAACCTACCAACTGTTGGTCAAACCATTCTGAAACGGATGGTCGTGTATGTTCAGTTGTATCTAAATGAACAACTAAGTGAACAACTTTGGATATATTGTTATTACTTGTCATGGATACGTAATCCTCTCCAGAAACATTTACTTACACCGGGGTGTGATTTCGGTTCGTCCCGTGAGTTTCATCCGTGAAAGAAGCATTGGTGTGTCATAATCGGAATTCGCTAAACGAACGAATCAGTGAGCACTCTACAAACTATATTTCGTTTACTGGTTGGGACTGACGGACATCTCGGTTCTGTACCTTGTAATTAGCGCTCGCTCACGTCACATTGTAGAACCACTACTTGGCCGGCCTCTCGTATTCCCAGATGTACGTATCACGAAACTGATGTGCTCACATGATTTTGAGTATCGATATATCTAACGTTGACTCACCTACATTTTTTCACTGGAGTCCGTTCACACCCACATTCCTTTTATGCACACTTAATTCGACTATGCCATTCATGTCAGGCTAATCAGGTGATTTTACTGGAAACTTTTGATTATCACTTATTGTCCTCTCCTATGGAGGGACTGAGAGTTTGATATTGATTTCACATGGGCCGAAGCCAGTGCAATGACGAGGGTTCCAGCTGCTCTCGATATGAACATTTTGACAACATTTCACCCCTAGTAGTCCCCAAGGTTTGTGGTTCAATTGCTATCTAAAAGGCCTCTATATCTGAACATGCCATTTCGTCTTCGTTTTCATAGGAAATTCTCATCGACCATGAGCTCCGTATGGTCTCCTACATAGCCGATATTGGAGACATCTTTGTCCTCATGGCGCGCCGTCCTTCAGTCAATCAGTCAGATTCATGCAATATGCCTCCGGACGGGACCGTGCCAGAAACAGAGACAAACACATCCAGGTCGGATTCAGGTGGGAGTAGCACCCTCTCGGATACGTCCACTGAGCCTTCCGACTATCGTATACGTGGACTTTCGAAAACCGTGTTCGAGCGAACACGGAAGCCTGACACGAAGTTGGTTTGTCATGTTCTCGAAAGCTCCGACGTAAGTTGTTCTCTTTCTTATTGAATTATGGACCATTGATATGGTCAATTTGGGCTAACCCTTCAGTCAACCTACATCAACTTTGTTGACATGAGAAAACTCGCATGCTGTTCATGCCCGTGTGAACCCATCGTACATTTTGAGCGTTTTTTGTGAGTTGCTGTCGTTTTCGGTGACCTTGCATGTGATCTTGTTTGGTATTAAATCTCCTATCCCAATGGGTAGACCCATTTCTTCCCCGTTTTTATTTCCAGGCCCGTCTAATTGCCCAATCTGTTGGACATGCGTTTCAACTGGCCTATCTTGATTTTCTGCGTGAAAGTGGAGTTGAAGATCTCACTTCCGTGAAGCACCTCAACTATCAAGACGTATTGAATCAACAGGAGATTTTCTGTGATGAACTGACCATGTTTACGGACAAACAGCGACACAAACAGGTGCGTAAATGATTAGCTTAATCTAAGTGCAACAATCTCTTCCCAGAAGAGACAGCGTGGTGACTTTTTGGAGCGACCTGTTTTTGTCAGGGTTTTTTGAGAGGGTTAACTGTACTTGGTACTTACTTTCGGTCTATTCCACCATTTCCCATATCCCTTTCCAATACTTTCTCTGCAGATCACCATTCCAAAACAACGGGGTGAACCGTTGGGTGTGGTAATTGTAGCTTCGGGCTGGGGGAGCCTATTACCAACGGCATTGTTGGCCAACATGAATCCACTCGGACCGGCCGCCCGATGTGGTCAGCTGAATATCGGCAACCACATCATATCTGTCAACGATCAAAGTCTAGTCGGACTCCCTTTGAACTCCTGTCAGCAGATAATAAAGGTAAACTTACTCATAAAGCGGTATTGGGAGGTTTATTTTTTGCTTTCCACCATTCATATAATATGATAATGGATATTCTTTTGGTCCATACATTCTGACTGTTTCTTTCAGCTAGTCTGCTGATCTTTTCATAGGATAGCTTAGAAATCAAGTCTTTTTAAGCGAAATCATTAGTGATTTCCCTTAATCCTAAGTTGTGTTGATCCATGGCTTGAACCAACCACTATTGGTCCTGGTGCTCCAAAGACATTTGGTCTCTTGAAGATGCAAATTGCCTTAGGTGGAGCCAGTTACTTGAAAGTTCCAGCTCTGCTGATGAACGGTAAAAGCGACAAAAAAGATGCAAAGACGATGGTGACTAGCTACTTTGTTAAACAATTTCACGGACAGTAAGGCAGTGACGCCGAATTTTTATGGTCTTCGTGAAAATACTTATTGCTCTAGGAGGTTTTTTTATTACACGAAGTTGGAGGATTTGAAGGCTTGTCCGTTAGTATGCGGTAACCTGAATTTCTTACTCATATTCTAAGGGTTTACAGCAGGTGCATTTTCATTCACTCGGTGTTTCCGTTTGCTCCTCTATATGTTTATACCTCATCTCGCGTCATCGCTCTTGTTAAGTTCGTTAACTGGGTTCAATTAGTCCACGATTCTCTTAATTGTGTAGGCGTGTCGCAACCAAACGTCGGTCAGGCTAACGGTGGTCGACTGTCCACCGGTGGTGGAAGTTCTTATCCGTCGTCCGAATCTTCAATACCAACTGGGCTTCAGTGTTCAAGATGGTGTGATCTGCAGTTTGTTACGAGGCGGGATAGCAGAACGGGGTGGAATCCGAGTAGATCATCGAATCATAGAAATTAATGGAGAAAGTGTGGTCGCTGTCCCACATGAGAAAATTGTGCATTTGTTGGCGACATCTGTTGGCGAAGTAAGTCCTTAGAGTTTTAGAGACGGTCGCATTTCCGAACCGAATTGCAAAAGCTCCCGCTGAACTCCCTGTCATTTTTTCTAATGCGCTTGGTTTCACGCGTAGGTAATCTCTCTATGTTGCATTTCCTTGCCTTCGTAAGGCAGGTTCCTTTGCCCTTCTTGCAGTTGGCAAACGTGTAATTCGCTCCTTTAATCGTCTGATTGGTCATTTAGAATCGGCTGTCATTGGGTATACGGGGAAAAATCATTGAATCCGCAGTCTTGAGCCTCTGTATACGCTCGACAACCTGATAAAGTATCTGACTTTTTCAGCTACTATTATGGGCTTCTAGGACATTCAGGAACTGGGACGATTATATTATGACATCTGAACACAGTATATTCATTTAGCACACTGCAAATGCCACGAGAACTGGGGAGCGGTGTGTCGGGGAGTGAGTGAGGCCTTAGCGTTGGATTCGATATTTTCAGAATGCCAATGAGTTTAGTGTACCAGCTTTTGGCAATTTCCAGTGAGCGTTCTCTGGGGCTGTTAAATCCTGCCATTTTGATTCATGATATTCGCATCCATCACTCCAGGTCATGTCATCGTTGTATGTGCATTGGACCTGAGACACTCATCTTCAGTTCATCTGTCCGCTACTGTGAGTGATGGTAGTGTAGTAGGTCTAACACTAAGTTCGCTTACTTTATGTAAAGGAATTAAGTGAACATGTTGAATGTGACAGATTTAAACGTCGCTGGTGTGCATCGACGGTCACAGGAATCTTGACAATAAGCAATTCGGTGGACTTTCGATGACAGTCATCTCACCCAGCGCAATGATCGGACATTCGGCTCTCAAATCCCGGCACTGTCCAGAACATACACTCCTGTCGGGCTTATAAAAGAGCGAAACTTCAGTCCAATGTTTCCCCTCTTTGATGCGATATCACAGGGATTATTGCGCTAGCACATAAGTAGGACTGTCCAAATGAAAGCGGTATGGATTTACAAATAGCACCAAATACAATCAACTGCCGCTCAGGGTCGTTTCTGTGGCCTAAGACGAAACCGACACATCTGCTTCACGGCATCGAAGTTTAGCACCTTAAGGCAAAGATTGTGGTCTTCCTTTACCCTGTTACCAACCTTTTATGTGATTGGGAATTCTCCTTCAAACAAGATCAACCGAGATATGGCTATCACAGCGCAAGAACGCGCTACGCAATATCCCGTGATTGGACCAGATAAGTCGATATTATAATGACACTAAGTTATTCGGTGCGTGGTATTTTGCGACCACGGTCAACCTGTCGGCAGCACATCTGCATCCTACTTCAGCGGGGACAGTGTTCAACTCGCAGATGGGATATTTCCGACCCTTTGGGATTCCACGTGCGCCACCCTTTAAGATCCCAAAGATAGTTGACTGAAAATGCTCTTTACTGTTTGTTTTCTACATGAGACCGCGAATGCACAGCTGTTGAACAGCAGCCATATCTTCGAGTCAACCTAGTGGGCATCGTTACGCTGTGTGCATCGACTATTTCAAGGACTGCCGTTCACACTATAAGGCAAGATCGTTATGGTCGGAACCTGCTTTGAATGTCATATATCTCAACAGTACGCTAGTTAATTGATAAGTGAAATCTTTCGCCCAACCAGTTTCACGTAATACAAAGCAGGAATGGGCTTTCTCAGTCCACATGGCCGGATTCGAACCTAGCA